CATGTTTACTTTATGAAAATGACCCCTTCCTGATAATGTTCAACTCAGCTAAATTCGCTATTTCTTTAGTGTCCTAATGGTAATAAATATTCTCCATTAATGGATAAAAACTAAATTTGTACTGTTATATGCCGTTTTAAAGCTTAGGTATTAGCAATTAAGATGGACTAATGGAACGGCATACCTTCATGTAGTAGAAATATGCCATAGCACCAGTGAATCTATGGCCAAATCAATAGCCTGATGGTCACTCTATAGATAGTTATTCCAAAACATGTGGTCAAATCCACAATTACATTATGGCTGGGTGTATCACATTTATGCGTCTTGAATTGAATTTAATTACATAGAAAGTGATGTGTGTTCCGAAATTTAAATTCAATCTTTCAGAGTAAGGGATGGCTCGATTTGCCAAGCTTCGTGAAAGTGACTTCAAGTCATCCGGCCCAACTCTGCGGTCTCTACCCGAGTAAGGGCCGATTAGCGGTCGGCTGTGACGCCGACCTCGCTATTTGGCCAGGCGGCGGTCTGCTCGAGCCAAGCTACTATGGTAGCCAGCCGGGGGACTTGAAAACTCACCAGGATCCGGTTGGTGTGCCAGCAGCTGGAAGTGCTAGGTCGCCGATGTTAGTAATTCTGAATGGCAAGGTGGTTGTAAAGGCGGGCCAGATAGTTGGCGCTGATGCTTTGGTGGCAGGTGAGGGATTGAGTGATGCTTGCAGGCAGGCGGGACGATATCAAGCAGCGTCGGCCTTCCCGAGGCATATATATCGACTGGTGTTTGCATCGGAGCATGTGAGTTGAACTTCTCATTTTTATCTTGAATGACTTACTTCTTATTCGCCCTTTGCCATTGCATCCGACCAAAAAAATCTCTTCTACATTTCGTTTTATATTTCCTATATATTTACTTACGATTTCTGTTTTATCTTTTTTTCTTTGCTTTCTTTTTTTAAGCCTTAGTTGATTTTTCTGCTATAGCCGATCATATTAGCGTTATGACTAATCAATAGTTTTACATTTGTGGATTTACCTTTGATCTTAAATCTGGGTTGGAATAAAATCGTAAATATGAAGACCAAGATGGCGTGGCCTTCTGTTAGGTCGCACGTTTGGAAATGTACCCAGCCAATGGTCCAATGCTGGAAATCACGAATACTATGGCAAAGGACACGGGACTAGGTACGTTCCACAAGATCTCCATGACGCTTCGACAAAGTTGCGAAAACAAGGTCGAACAAACTTATAGATTGAGACTATTGCAAATAAATTTTTCGTTCCGGCGCATGTAAACCAGCTCTTTATTCAGCTAGCATATTTGGAAAAGATATAAATTCTTCATACAAATAGCTATGCATCGAGATATTCGAAAGACAGGTGACATATCATAACAGATTATTGAAGTCGCATGCAAGTCTGCCGGAGACCATGGGCCTCATAATAATATTTGGTTGAGATTAAGAGAAATTGTTTAAGTTGTTTACGACTCTTTCATATGAAATGAATACAACTCAAATACTCTTGAAGATATGAAGACCAAGATGTTGTAGCATCTGGTATGGTCGCAGTCATCTTTCGATTTATAGAAGTAGGTTGACTTCA